CACTCACCTCAGCCTCCCAAGGCGCGGGATTACAGGCTGAGCCACCGAGCCCGGCTGCAGGGGGCCAACATCTTAATGGAGAATGTTCAAGGGGGAACGTGAAGAGAAGTGAGACACTGCATGTCGACAGCTTTTTTGGGTGGTTTTTCTGTGAAGGGATGTAGAGAAATAGGGGTCACTTGGAGGTGGAGTTTGGTTTGGTTTTTTAAGACAGAAAACATCAATAACATGTTCAAGTGTGGATGGGAATGATCCATGAGAAAGAAGAACTTCAACAAGGGTACTTGCATAATGAACATTTGTATCCCTAACGCTGAATTGTACCCCACATCTGTAAAATAAAAAATAAAAATAAATAGTATCCAGAAATTTTAAAAAAAGAAAGAGAAGAACTGATACAAAAGAGGGGGAAATAGTAGTCACGGAGCTCCTTAAAGGAGAATGGGGCTAGGTGCATGTGTCACGTGAACAGTGTGTTCATACAGTATAGTAATAATGGAGGAGGGAAGGCAGCAGTGGAGGCTGTAGGAAGGGGAGCAGTTTTGGTGGTGAGAGCATGTGAATTGCTCTCCTGAATACTTCCTTCTTCTCAGTGAAACAAGAGGCAGCGAGGAACAGTGAGGCAGTGGCAGAGGTCTGAGGATGGAGGAACTGAAAAAGCCCAGGCAGACTGCCTCCCAGGTCGGCCCTGGGAATCGAGGCTGCAGCTGCCTCAGGTTGCCTCCATTGAAGGGGGTTCATCACCACTCATCATCCTGCTGTGTTTGCTTTGTGCTCTACACCACATGGTTTCCATGAGTTACCTCTTTTAATTCTCCTAGCATGACTATGAGACATAGATACTCCTATTAGTCCCATTTTGCAGACTGGGAAACTGAGGCTTAGAGAGCTTAAGGTTAAACAGATAGTAAGTGGCAGAGTCAGAACTGGAATCTAGATCTCTATGACCCCAAAGGCCAGTGAGGACGGCTCCATCATAAGACTCGCTAAACTGGAAAACTGTGGCATTGTTCCCATGGCAGGTCGGCATCTGGCATTTGCCCCAGTGATCCAACAACTGCTCCAGTGGTTAGTTCCCCTTCCTGCTCTGTTATTAACATAGTGATTGTATCAGTTAGCAGTGCTTTTGGCTACAAATGACAGAAAACCCCATGGTTCAATGGCTGTTTTGTTTTTCTCACATAGGAAAGTGAGTCTTGCTCTGTCTTTCCGTTTCACCATTCTTAGTGTGTAGGCCTTTGGTCTCAGACTTGTCAGTCTTCTGGTCGCAAAATGGCTGCTGCTGCTTCCGACATCACTCTGCTTTCAAGGACGATGGGGAAAGAGCTGTGGATGAAGGACGAGGAGTGTGTTTGTCCCTTTTGATCCAAAGGACTGTAGTTTTCTCAGCAACTCAACACAGCCGGCTGCTTCTTATAACAGTAAGTCAGCACTGGGTCATCTGACCACCCTGACAGCAAAGGAACTGGTCAGTATTTGTCTTCCTTGTCTCTGAGGTTGAGGCAGGCTGTGGAGAAAGAGGCTGGGGATGTTTCGGGCAACTGACCAGCAGTGTCTGTTAGAGGCTCTCTTGCCGGAAGAGAGAATTTGATGACTCAGTTGCCCTCTGGTGTTGAGTATCCCATTGGGTCTCCCGAATGAGCCACTGTCCACCTGTGGCTGCTTTGGGGCTGGACATTAATCTATGGTCCCATCAGCTGTGGCATGGGAGGGGTGGGGACAAGTGGTAGCACCAAGTGTGGTCATTTTTGTGTAAGATTACTCTGCATGTTTCATATCTTAGATTCTCTCCAGTTCATCTTAGAAGGTTTCCACAGTTTGTGAGAGGAGGAGGAGGAAGAGACATTAGAGGAGTCTTGGGATAAGAAGAGGGTTTGGGGGGTTTTGTTTGTAAGAAACAGCATAGATCATAAAGGAAAAGATTAAGGAGTTTCAACTGCAAGAACTTTTATGCATCAGAAGATCCCATTAAAAGGGTAAAAAAAAAAAGTTGACTGGGAGAAGGTATTTGCAAGACATTAACTGACAATTAGTATCCAGGCCACCTTTGTGGCTCAACCTGTAATCCCAGAATTTTGGGAGGCTGAGGCGAGTGGATTGCCTGAGCTCGCACGTCAAGGCCAGCCTGGGCAACTTGGCAAGACCTCATCTCTACAATAAATAAAAAATTAGCTGGGTGTGGTAGCGCACACCTGTAGTTCCAGCTACTTGGAAGGCTGAGGCGCAAGGATCGCTGGAGTCCAGTGGGTCAGTGCTGGGGTGCCTGTGAGTGTGCCACTGCACTCCAGCCTGGGCAACGGAATGAGACTCCAACTCAAAAAAAAAAAGAATTAGTATCTGTAATACACTTGAGCCTTGAACAACACAGATTTGAACGGTGAGGGTCCACTCATACATGAATTTTTTTACAGCCAGATATGGATGGAAAATACAGTATTTGTGGGATATGAAAACTGAGTATACAGAGGGCCAGATTTTTGTATATGCAGGTTCCACAGGACCCACTGTAGGACTTGAGTGTGCGGGGATTTGGGCATCACAGGGCTTCTGGAGCCATTCCCCTGAGTATACCAGGGGACAACTGAATATATAAGTAGTAAAATGTCAGTTCACTCAGTAGAAACGTGGCCATTCACAGAGGAAGAAAGCTAAATAGCCTATAAACACAAAATTATGCACAACTTCAGGGAAACACAGTTTAAAACACCACAAGAGGCTTCACACTTCTGAGACTGACAGCAGGACTTAGAGCCACAAGAGTGAGAACACTGGATGATGGGGGCATTGGCTTATCCTTTTTGACAAGATATTTAGAGAAATCCAGCCATGATGAAATACTCATAAACTGACCCCAGTATGCCCCATGAGGTACAGTCCCCTGAGAGTTCTCGTTAGGGAAACAGTACATGACTGGTGATTACAGCATGGTGATAATAGAAACATTGGAAAGATCCTTGGTGTCCATTAACATGAGAAGAGATTAGACTTAGCATTATCACACAGTGGGGTAAGTGCTACAGAGAACTGTACAGGGCACGAGTAGACAGATCTCACAGACAAAAAGGGGGGACAAAAAGCTGACACATAAGCATACGTAGAGTACAATTCCACTTATGTAAGCTTAAAAACACGGAAAACAGCAGTGGGTTTTAGGGATACATACTTGTGTAGCAAAAGAAAATGCATGGAAATGACAAACTGTTGGTTAGAGTAGTGGTCACCTGAGAGGGAAGTGTGAGTCAGTGTCAGCTCGGGGGAGAATGAGGGGCAAGGAGGGAGGCGGTGGGATCTTAACTGGATTTGCAGTACTTTGTTTCTTGGGGAGAGGTCGTCGCTGTTTGTCATATTATTTTTTGTATTTTTGTATGTCTGTAATCTGTACATTGAATAATTGTTTAAAAGAGGAAAAGAGCCTCGAAGTACAGAGCTTAGAAAACAGGTCTATGCCTGTTCCCCCTGTATCTGCTCTAGACCAGGCACAGCCCTGTGAAGCTTCCAGTCGATTGGCTTTCTAACCGATCATGGGCATCTATGCATGCAGCATGCTTTGCCCCAGAGAACTCTTCCGTCACTCCCGTCTCCCCACCTCTTTCCCATTTTGCATGCCCAGGGGAATGTTTGGATGGGAATTATTTGTCTTTCTGACACTTTGCTGCAAACCCTACTGAGTTGAATTGGGTTACAAAGAGATAACGTATTATGAGTAAATGATGCTATAGAGGCCCAAACTACAGCCCCTCTCCGTCTTCTTGCTTGCGGTGTTCGTGTGATGGCTTTCCGTTCATTCCTAGAGGGCAGAGGCCTGGGGGTTTTGTTCTGGCAGTCCTTAAGGGTCGCACCTTGGAGACTCAGCCCTGGATGGGTAGCGCATTTGGTGGTGATGTTGCTAGCAAATTATTCCCAATACCGCGTTTGTTCATTTTCTCTGTGTTTATTTAAGAGTCAGGGTCTTGCTCAGTCACCAGGGCTTGAATGCAGTGGCCCGATCGTAGCTCTTCTTCCCCCAGTGCCTAGGCTGGCAGAGCATCCTTGAACTCCTGGTTTCAAGTGATTGCCTGCCTTAGCTTTCTAAGTAGCTCGGAATACAGGCTCACACCACCATGATTGGCCACCACGACTGGCTAATTTTTAAACATTTTGTGGAGATGGGGTTTCACATTTGCCCAGGCTGATTTCAAACTCAGGCCATCCTCCTGCCTTGGTCAAAGTACTGGGATTACAGATGTGAGCCACTGCACCCAGCCCTCTTTTCTCTTTGTGATGCACTCTCTCTCCTCTCTGTAGACTCTGCCTACTGTAATATTATTTCTTTCTGCCGCATTGCCACTTACCACTGTATTTCTCCTTAAGCTATTCTTTGACTTAATGAATTTTATTTAGGTTAAGGGTGGCAGATATGTTTCACCTCTTGAGCTGTTCCTGATCTGTTAATAATGGCTGCCTGGAGTTCTGGGTTGGTAGAGGTTCAGAAATGAATCTAGCTCAGCAGGGAGAATTGCTGGTTGATGAGCAGTGTCTGTGATGGGCACAGGGTTAGGACTTGGGGCATTCCTGTCTAAGATACTCATAAAAATGTTAAAAAATCAAGAAACCTCTTAACATCAGATTATGAATGGTGGCTATCTGTAGGTGGTTACATTACACAAAATTTTAATATTCTTATGATAATATTCTATGTTTTCACATTTGTGACAGCGAGCATGTATTATTTTAGGGTGCAGGAAAAAATACTCAGTGTATCTTGAAAAGAAGTGTCTCAACAGAATGAAACCAGTGATTTGAATGTGCTGTGTGATAGTGCTTGGTTCTATAGTTGCAATAAGCCCAGCGGGAGGTAGACGTACTCACTGCCTTTCCCTTTCTGTACTGTGAGAAATCCTTTGACCCTGGGCCATCATTCTTGCTGTGAGGTAAAATGTGGGTCTGGCTGGTTCATTTCTCGTCTTCCAATCGGGCAGGTCGAGGTGGTGCATCTATCTATGGCAAGCAGTTTGAAGATGAACTTCATCCAGACCTGAAATTCACAGGTAAGGGTATCATCTGGCTGGACTAGGGAGGAAACAGGGATGGATGTTCAAAGCATACTCTTTTGTCTGTGATTCAGGGTGAATGCCTGACACTGTGGCATGGTGCCAGGCAGCTGTCCAGCCGTGGCGCCACAAAGAGCCCTGGGGATTATAAAAAGCAGTGCCTCTCGCAGAGTTCTGAGTGGTTCAGAATGCTGATCTGAGTGTTCTAGACTCCAGCTACTTGTTGAATGTCATAAACTATAGGATATCAAAAATATCCTCAAAGAAACAGGAAACATTGCTGAGTTTTGAGGGCAGTTGGGAGTGTGGTCTGGCAGTTAGCAAAGATAATTGGGGGTCAAGCCTGGGGAGTAGGTGAGGACAAGGAAGACTAGGTCATGGGGTAGTGTGGTAATGGCGTTTGTGTGGGGCCGAGAGCCTGCCCTATGCAGGAGGTTGTCCATGTCTGGACAGTTCGTAACAGAGGCCAGAGCAGAGCCTTGAATTCTTTTTATCCCTAGGATGGGTAGCAGCTCTAGGCTGGACCTATAGATTATTCATACTCTTTCCTCTCTTCCTTTTTCCCATCAGGGGCTGGAATTCTCGCAATGGCCAATGCAGGGCCAGACACCAACGGCAGCCAGTTCTTTGTGACCCTCGCCCCCACCCAGTGGCTCGACGGCAAACACACCATTTTTGGTCGAGTGTGCCAGGGTATAGGAATGGTGAATCGCGTGGGAATGGTGGAAACAAACTCCCAGGACCGTCCTGTGGACGATGTGAAGATTATCAAGGCATACCCTTCTGGCTAGCCCTGCTGCCCTCTTGGGCACACCCAGGTCTTCTGAGGTACCCCCAGCGAACCAGCTTCCAGATGACCTAGAATGACATGTAATGTTAAACTTCATTTTGGCCTCGCAGATCATGGAGCTAAGGAGGCCTGGGGTCTTGAGTGAGTTAAAGACGGAAGTGTGTTGTAATAGCATGCTTCTTTCCTCTTCCCCCAGTGCCTAGACTGACAGAGCATTTGCAGAAATGCCCGTACCTACTGATCCTCAGGTCATGATTCACTGCAGATGACCCATAATGCTCCTTCCTGTGTATGTGTGCGCTGATATACTTGGAACAAAGTGAAGCCCCACTGTCATGTCACAGTGGCTTTGCCTCACCAAGTTTCTTCCTGAGAAGATTTATATTCCGGTCTACACTGTAGTCCTTGGTGGCTGACAACCACAGAATTCAAAACCAAGCAGTGTCTGTCAGCCCTCTTCACTCTGTGCACATCCTCTTTCAGTCTCCTGTGTTTGTTCTTCGAGGGAATGTATGCCTCTCTATATATATTTCTCCTCAAAAACCAGAACATCAACATTGCTGTTTCTGACACTTAGACATCCCACACAAAGCCACATTGAATTTTTGCCAAATGAAAAATGCATCCAACAATCAAGTTTCTAAGAAGGTGCCAAGTGGGGAATGATAATGTGTAATAATCGAGAAATGAATTTATTAGAGGGAAGCAGAAGCATTGACCATCTTTTTCCCAGGAAGGAGTGGAAATCTATAATGAGCACAAGGACAGACTGTGAGTTCTCCTTTAAAAGCCACTCTTATACAGGAGGAGCACCTCTTAAGTTTTTAACTTAAGACTTTAGAGATATTAGAAAGGAGATTTTTATACATTCAGTTGTTTTTAAAAAATCTTTCTGGATTTGGTAGATGTAGAGATGAGAGGAAGGCAGTTAGTACCTATGTAATTCACAGAAACTTCTAAAATAAAATGCTGTTGATGGTTGAAATCGCTGCTGTGTTCTGATTTTAAATATTGTGTGAAGTTCTAAAAGCCATTTTGATCTCAGCCATATCAAGTAGTACTGCAGAGATCAAATCTTCAAGATTTCACATCATTTTTAGGTTTTTGGCTTTCCAGTGGACTTCCTCCCATTCAAGAGCAGTTGTGACTTTAGAAAGGCAGAACCAGAAAAAGAAGTTAGGTGATGTCGATTGGCATTCCGAGTGAGGGGGGATTGTCTGTGGGTGAGCTGGTGGATGTGCCGAGAAACCCAAACCACCCCTTGACTTGTAGGAGGTCCACCTGCACATTGTCATGGACCAGAGGCAACATGTGTTGTGGTGTTTGCTTCCTTAAGCTGGTAGCTCCTTGAAGAGGGGATGCTAACTTTAGTGTTTCTTCATACTTTGTAAATTTTGGAAATGGTGATTTACTTTATGGAAAGGTCAAACAAGGTTCCCCAAGCCCTCCTACCTTCAACCACTTGCTCTTCCTGTCTTTTTTCTCTTAACAACAAAAAAGAAAAACCCCAAATTAGCTTTATAAATGACTTCATAACTCCTCAGAGATGGTTTTGGTGTGCAAAGTAATGTTCTGCCCTGTGGGAAAATAGAAGTATACTTCTTTCAGACTCTGCGAGAGCATGGAATAACACCCATCCACTAACCTCCCAGAATCATCATCCTGAAAATTCCCACTTTCATCCAGGTCACAGGGGCAGTGGAAACATGCCATCTCTAATTTGAAGTAAGGAAGGTTCTGTGTACCCTTGGGAAGAATGCCTCACAGGCTCAGTTCCCCGTTTCTGGACAGGCACACCAGATACATGCAGGGTAGTCACGCATGTGGGCATATGCCAGTTTTCATAAAGGATGCGACCTCAGAGAGTGAAACCTGAATTGTTTCACGATTTCTAGTGATTCTGCCAGCGAGCCAAGTTGTGGGAATTCTTGTTTCCATGTAAGGGGAGCTGGTGTAGAAGGAGACCCGCTTAATTCTTCGGTTGCATGAGTTTCACACCCTGTCAGATAAGTACTGTCAGGACAAGTCCCATAAAAGCAGATGTGCTAGAGCTCAGATAGCTTATTTCAGTCACACCTCAGATCAGAGTGAGGTTAGTTGATCAGGAGAAGGCAAAGAATGAGTTTAAGACTTGGATGATCCCGTGCCTTGAGTGGATTGCCTGAGTCCGTGGGTTCAAGACTCGCCTGGGCAACTTGGCGACACCTCATGTCTACAATAAATCAAAAATTAGCCGGGCGTGGTAGCACCCACCTGTAGTTCCAGCTACTTGGAAGGCTGAGGCGGAAGGATTGCCAGAGCCCAGCAGGTCAAGGCTGCGGTGGCCGGGAGCGGCCACTGCACTCCAGTCTGGGCGACAGAGTGAGACTCCAACTCAAAAAAAAAAAGATTTGGATGGGGAGTCAAGACGATAGGTATGGGACTACTCAAGGGCCCTAGCCTAGGGCTTCCCACACGTTAACTCACAGGAATCACTGAAGGAGCCTAGTGGAGAGCAGCTTCTCCCTGCACACAGTCAAAAAGTTAAGATGGTTTCTTGGAGGCACGAGCCTGGCCATCTCCTCAATTGCTGGCATTTGAATACATCGACTTTCCACCAGGAAAAAAAATCAAGCAGCTTCTGACTCCATGTTCAGCCAGAGGGTCTGCATTTCTCATAACTCCCAGGAGATGGTTGACTTCTGGTCCAGACACCGCACTTTAGGGGAGAGTTCCTAGAGAGAGGTCACATTCATCCAACATGAAACTGGGGAGGGGATTTTCCCAAGAGCAGGGGCAATCAGGACCATAACCCAGTCTTCTGCCTCCCAGACCAGTGCTCTCTGCCTCATCCAGTGGCCTTGGTAGGGTGAAGAGAGTCAAACTGTGAGATGAGCTTTGATGGCTCCTGGCCCTGGCTGCTAAGACTGAGCTTTATCAAACAGGTCCTTCTGTTCCCACTTTAGTATACCATGGACATCCAGTCGTGGCATGTGACACTGGGATCCTGTGTGTGGGCACCAGGGTGGGTAAGATGGTGCTGCCAGCAGACATCACAGAAAATGCGGGGGAAATGGCATCAGCAAATTATGACACTGAAGAAAAAAGGGCTCTGGAACCAGACTGTTGGGGTTCAGATCCCAGCTCCACCACTTCGGCAGTGTGAATTCAAATTGTTTCTAAATTTCTTTGTGCTTTCGTTTCCTCAGCTATAAAAACAGAGATCACGGTCCTAACCTCATGGGACTATTGTGAAGATTAAATGAGCTAAAACAGGTATTTAGAACAGGAATGGCATTTAGAAAACAAAATGCTAGCTCTTGTTAGGAGCAGCAGCCTTTGAAGGTCCCACACGCCTCTCCTGCTCCTGTTTCAACCTACCTGCAGCCTGACCTCATAGCCTCTCCCTCCTACTGGCCTGATCGCAGGACAAGGACCTTGTCTTCCTGGCCTTTGTGGGTCTTCCCAGCACCTTGTGCTGTGCTTGAGGTTATTGCTGAATGAATCGAATGTTCCCCATCAGAAAAAGTCTGAGATCCGCTTGTAGAAATAACTACCCTAAGTCTCCAAACCCAGGTTTGCAGCTGATATGGCAGCAAAGCCTTTCCACCAAGCCCTCTGGAAGTCCTCTGCTTGATGTATTTTTGGATTGTGTCTCCAGAAGATGTCAAAATAGCTTTCCCCGCATAAGGCAAATGATTCCTACCCCCAGATCCTCCAGCCAGTCTGAGCTGTCACTGTGGCCCCTTTTGGCACCACATTCTTGCAATGTGTGGAGGAGGAAGCCCTGCAAAGCACGTTCGTTGCAGTGGTAGAGTTTACTGCCTACAAAGCACTTTGTGCCCTCAAAGCCCTGTTGCCTGTAGATGGATTGCTACTTTTTAGGTGAATGTCAGCATAGGGGCTTATTCCAGCAACACTTGCAAATGAGAGAAAAACGGTGCAGGGAAAGAAAACATGCTAGGGTCTTGCTCTAACATGGGCTTGGCCTGATTTAGAAAATGGATCTCTAGTTGTTCTTCTAATTGGTTAATCCAGGATCCTTAACTAACTACATCTGAAACCACAGTTCACCAGTGGTTGGCAGGGTTTATGGACAGGGATATGAAGGCTTTGTGTGCCCTTGGTCCAGTCACTCTACGTCTGGGACTTGTCCTCGTTGGTTAAGGGAAGATTTGAATTAGGCCCCTTTTAGCCCTAAATTTTCTGGAATCTAGGTCATTCTGAGAAGGTTCCTTCAGCTGCCAAGTTTCCATTTAGTATGCTATTTTGGAAATTTGCCACTAGAGGCCACTATGAATACAGTTTAGCCTGGCAGCTCTTTCAAGAGGCAGAAGTCTGCCAACCATTATTATTAAGCCACGCCTGCTGCCCTTTGGCTGTGGAAAACCCGCAACTGCTCAGACTGAGAGGGGCTCGAATGTCTCTTTGAAAGAATGTGTGGTGCTGTTACAGCCTGGCACAGAATGAGCCTATAAAAGCGCTCTGACCAGGCCTCTTTTCTTTCTACTGGACTAAAGGAGCCCTTGTGACCAGGGCCTCTTTATAAAGGCCAGTTCCCTCTTGCCTGTTTAATGTTCTACCTTACAGTTGGGTTCATTCATTCAACAAGTCATTTTGGACCCCTATTTTATACCCAGCACCAGCAAATATTTCCATAAAATCAGAAAGTCAACCAGAAAAATCTTTAGAAGAAAACAAAAAGTTATTTTTGCCCCTTGTGTTTCATGGTGTGTGGATGCTGCTTATATGTTTTTTCTCTTAATCTCCAAAATCAGCCTCTGAGGTTGACATTATTATGCCCATTGCTGGATGAGCAAACTGAGTAGCACAGGCAAGTAGCACAAAGCCTTGTACACAGTGAATGGGATAAAATTCTTACATGACTGGCAGGCAGGGCTAGGACTTGAACTAGGGACTTCCGATCCCAAGTTCAGCTCTTTTCCTGTGATCTCTGCCTTTGGCATACAGAGGAGGAAGAGGAGGTGCAGAAAAAGAATACTCCGATGGCAGGGTAGAGGTTAGAACGTGAATCTCTTGCCTTACAGGCTGGGATGTTCAGCCTGTCTGCTTCATCGTCCTCAGGGGAGTTGGCTGGGAGGCCCTGGCTTTAGCCATCTCCCAGCTCCTTCCAGGCAGAGCTTGAACCAGTGCCCAGGCACAGGAGGAGGGAGGGAGCACAAATGACCCCCATCAGTGTGTTTATTGAATCATAACTGCCTTAGCCTCACCACTCAGCTAATCTCATAGAAATCACTTTCCTCTCCGCAAGGATCTGGCCCTGGCTCCATTAAAAGCTGCTGCCTCGCACTTGTGAGAAAGCTCTTGCGCTGCAGAGTAGCTGGGGAGGAGCGAGAAGTCCTACTTCTACTTCCTCATTACACGCGCAGAAGGGGGGCAAACGGCATCTCACGTTCCCTGTGTAAGAACAGTCGCTGAAGGAAAGGGAATCTGAGCTTCACGGTGTTTCGGCAACATTCAGTTCTGAAGGAAACGTTCCTTTTGTGCTTATCTCTTTGAAAGAATGCGTGGTGCTGTTTAAGATCAAACAAGAGAAGGGAAGGAACTTGTGCTGAGAACTTAGGAGATGTTGGGTGCTCCATACAGATTATTCCATTGAATCCTCTCTGAGGAGCTGTGGACCAGGCGTCACAACGTCAGTTTCATAACTGAGTCCATTTCATAGTTGAAGGCCCCACTTTGGTAGGCTGGGGCTTGGCGGGGCTGAGCTAGGGGTCTGCTCTCTCCTCTGTCACACTAAACACACACAGATGCTTTTCTTACCATCCTTTGCTCCCTCTGTGGGAGTTGGGAAAATACAGAGACTGGTTTTTAAGACAGGACTGGTCACTGTATGATTTTGGTCATCTCCAGGCCAGGCACAGTGGCTCGTGCCTGTGATCCCAGCACTTTGGGAGGCCAAGGCGGGAGGATCGCTTGAGACCAGGCTTGGCAACATAGTGAGACCTCGTTTCTACAACAAAAAAAAAGAAGAAGAATGGCTAT